TTATTCTGCTTCATCGTCTCCATGGCATCGACCTGCATCGGGTGTGGTGCCTGTTCCCCCTGTGATCTGTCACTGTCCCTCGTCCTGTCACAGTGTCAGCTCCACGGGACCAGGGCCACCTGCTCTGCTCAGGGCTGAGTCCCCAGAGCTGAGTAGGCACCAGGTGCATACGTGCTGCGTGTGTGGGTGAATGAATGAATGAGATCGTGTGCTCACAGCAGGGCCATACTGCTCCCGGGGGGCAAACTTGGTTCTTGGGCCCGATAGGATCTTACTCTCTTATATAAACACACAGATGTACCTACAGTACATAAACCATTGTCTGGTAGTTCTGTAGTATTAAAATTTCATGAGGGGCAATTAGGAGAAAAATGTCTGAAATGGCTCCTTAGGGGGTGATAATGAAGTAGAGTTTGAGGAACACTGAATTAAAGGAAAATCAGTTGAAACTGCAGCCTTTTCCTCCCACATTTTGCCAAGGCCCTGGTAGGAACTCAAGATAAGTCAAAGTATGTAAAACAGTCCCGGGCATTTTCCTGGTGGGGAAAAGAATGGAAGGGCCTCGTTGCTTTGGGGAAACATTTTTTTTTCCTGCCAAGGGACAGACTTACAAAGGATGATATTTACATTTTCCTGAAGCCTCTAATTTTCTCATTTATCATCTGTCAGCGCCCGAGGCCCCTCCACAGCACGTGGAACGCTTGCACGCATCTATTGATCCCTCTACCAAACAACGTCTCGGTCACCGGGAGAAACTCGTTCCTGTTGCTGAGGCTCTAATTTCATCCATGAAAGCCACACTGTGCTGTCCTCGCAGGTGGGATCTGGGGGCGTCTCCTGCCACCCTGAGCTCTGCGTCCCCCGAGCTCAGGCTCCTGTAAGACAAGGGAACCGTGGAAACCTTCCCGCAGCCCGTTCCTGAGAACGTGAGCAGAGCGGCTTGCGTGAGGGTGGACGTGGACCAGGGCTTCGGGAGTGAGGCCGGGGCTTCTGGAACTCCTGACCCCGCTTGCTGGACTCACCCAATGGGGACCTTTACGGAGGGGCTTTAGCCAGCCAGAGGGAAGGCAGAGCGAGCTGGTGCCTCTGCCCCTAGGAGAGGGTGCCAGGGAGGGCTTCCCCAGGGTCCCTCTGCCCCTAGGAGAGGGCGCCAGGGAGGGCTTCCCCAGGGTCCCTGAGAACCCTCTTCCCTTTCCTCACCATCAGCTCACCCCAAGCCGCTGACAAACACCAGCCTCTTTAGAGAAATTCAGTTCGACCCTCAGGGCAGTGGTTCCCGGGTTCCAGCTGCCCCTGTGGCACTGTCCCCACTTCACAGGTGAAGGACATGAGTGAGGGAACCACCCGAGGTCACGTGGAGCCGGATGTGCCGCACCTTGGAAACCAAAGGCCAGTGTGCATCTGAGTCAGGCAGGCGCTAGGGGACAATGAAGCTTTTGTGCGGATGCAACTGGGGGAGGGGCCAGGGCGGGGGTGGGGTGGGACAGGGCTTCCCTGCAGGGTCTGCAGCACAGGCCTTAGTGAGCAGGTTCAGAAAGGGACACCGGAATGTTGGGCCACAGCACAGCAAAGTGGGTGCTGCAATAAGCACCTACCTAATGCGGCAGGTGCTCAGAGACACTGCTCTAAGCCAGCCCAGCACCTGGTGGCTCGTGCTGTGCCCCCCACGGTGTCTGGAGCTGGGACAGCGCCTGCGGAGGCCTCAGTGCTTCCCGGGCTGATGTAGGTTGACTCGTGCTGTCCTGAGAGGACGTCTGTGCTCTGACACCTCACCCGGCTGCTCTGCTGCTCCCAGGTCCCTCACGTCACCTTTCCCAAGTGGATGTGGATTCCAGGGACAGGCCACCTACGGAGCCACCAAACAGAAGTCAGTTCCTGTCGGGCACGGTGCTTCCCAAGCTTGTGTCACTCAAGGGCACCTTCACAGTCATTGCTCATTGTGGCATCCACGCTGTTATCTTATTTAATATTCACCTTTAAGCCAGACCAACTCCTAGTTTTCTTAAATAAATCCATTCTTATGGTGCGACCTACTTCAACCTCTTGACCAATTTTAATGGAATTACAGGTTTGATGAACAAGCTGGAATATTTTCTGCCCCTTCTGTGGTCTCCTAAGATCATCTCCTCTACCACCAGGGGCGTGAAAACCAGCCTTTTAGGAGAGCGCCCTTTCTGACACTGCTATGGGGGTGGGGATCTGCAGTCCTGTGAATCGTGGCTACAGGACCTCACTCAGCATGGGGAGCAGAGGCTGCCCACGATTCCACCAGCACCGATGGAACCCACACACATTTCCTGACGCCTGCTCTGTGCCTCGTGCGCATGGCGTCGACATTACCTGACATAGAGACAAGGCGAGTCATGCTCAGTATCCCGGGCTACTTCACAGCAAGACGCAGACCCACAGGGCTGAAGGAGAGGTCGACATAATTCGGTCCGACCTCTGTTTTAGAGACTGCTCACCTGGAGTCAAAAGCTGGGAAGGGACGGGTTTGAGGTTACACAGCTGTAAGTGATGGAACCAAAAGCCACTTCAATCCTCTGACTCGTTTCAGAGACCCCACCACACCCTCACTGGTCCTGTTCCCCTGCCTGTGAGCCCCCTTTTTAAGTAAATGGATACATGATCACCAAATCAAACACTGTTGAATCTGTCTGTTCCCCGCCCGTCTCTTTCCAGAGACAGCTACAGTATTCCTTTAGCCGTTTCTGCAAGTTTCTTCCAGGTCTTGTAAGAGTGAGCTATTGGTGGAGCTTTCAAGCTGTGCTGGTGTCTTTCAAATGTCTGCACCCTTGATGAGGGGTCAGAGTCCCTCCTCCACCCGCACCCCACCTCCCACCACCCTCCACAGGCTAATCATGATTTTAATTACGTCATAAGCAGCATTTATGTCACGTGACCAGGTAGATGTTATTCACTGCAGAGCCCTTTTTTTTTTAAAGATTTTTTTGATGTGGACCATATTTTTTTAAATTTTTGAATTTTATTTTATTTTTTTATACAGCAGGTTCTTATTAGTTATCCATTTTATACATATTAGTGTATACATGTCAATCCCAACCTCCCAGTTCATCCCACAACCAGCCCCCCCACCCCCACCCCGCCGCTTTCCCCCCTTGGTGTCCATACGTTTGTTCTCTACATCTGTGTCTCTATTTCTGCCCTGAAAACCGGTTCATCTGTAGATGTGGACCATTTTTAAAGTCTTTATTGAATTTGTTACAATATTGCTTCTGTTTTATGTTTTGGGTTATTGTTTTTTTGGCTGCGAGGCTTGTGGGATCTTAGCTCACTGACCAGGGATTGAAACTGCATCCCCTGCATTGGAAGGTGAAGTCTTAACCACTGGACTGCCAGGGAAGTCCCATGCAGAGCCCATTTTCTTTTTTATGCATCTTTTGCTCTCCCAGAATTAATAATTTCCTTGTTCTTTTTACTTGCAAAATTGCTTACATATACTTTGTTCTCTTCAAATTCTCCAACATTTTTCATCCAGTCCAGTGTTTTCCAAGCTGTTTTGACTGCAGCCGATCATAAGAAATCTATTTTACAACAAGGCCTGGCATATGCACACACACACAATATAGGAAGCCAAAACTTCACAAAACAATATTCACTTTCATGGTAAAGGATATCCTTTGATAGTTTCTACTTAATTCTGTTATTTCATGTTTTAAAATGCTGGTCGAGGCTCATGGAATTGATGTCAGGCCCTGCTAAGGTGGCTCGATCTGCCCTTTGGGAAGCTCCGCACTAGCCCAGCTCAGCCCCGCCCTCCCCGGGCCCCCAGCTCCTCTCTGGCAGGGGTGACTCTCCTGTGACCGACCAGCTCTCATCTGGAGACTTTTCTTTTTTCCTCTTCAGGGATGATCCACTTTTTGATAAACTCCATGTCTTGTTTTTCATTGATTTTCTGCTTTCTGTGACTCACTTCCAAATTATTTCTTTTTCACTGAGGAAAATAAAAGTGGGAAGGAGACAGTTACAATAGGAAGAAGCCAGAGAGCAAATAGGAGAATTGATTTATGCATGGTTTTGGTTCTGCACGAAGCCAACAATACTGAAAAGCCAGGCCTCCAGCCATGTATCATTTCTGCCGACACCCAGACGATGGAATGAAATGTTCACTGTGGCTGTAAATCAGTGTCTCACCCTCAGCAAGCTTGACTTTCTGGGCAGGATAAGTCTTTTTTTTTTTTTTTTTTGTGGTACGCGGGCCTTTCACTGCTGTGGCCTCTCCCGTTGCGGAGCACAGGAGACGTGCAGGCCCAGCGGTTCACGGGCCCAGCTGCTCCACGGCATGTGGGATCTTCCCGGACCGGGGCACGAACCCGTGTCCCCTGCATCGGCAGGTGGACTCTCAACCACTGCGCCACCAGGGAAGCCCAGGATAAGTCTTTGTGGTGGAGACTGTCCTGAGCGTCGTGGGATGTTTAGCAGCATCCCTGACCTCTACCCATGAGATCCCAGTAGCCTCCCTCCCTTAGTTCTGACAACCGAAAGGATTTCCAGAAACTGCCCGATACGCCCTGAGGGCAAAATCACCCCTGGCTGGAATCCCTGCTCTGAAGGTCTGGGCTCTGCCTGCGCCTGTGATTCCAGGAAGCATCATGGCCTATTGACGATGCATCAGGCGGAGCCTGAGTTGGTCGATCGCATCCTCCAGAAGCCGCAGCCCGTGTAATGAGCAGACGCCTGTCCTTTACCGCCTTGGTTGTGTGTGGGACGCCACGGGGACTCGTGCAAACCGGCAGCCCAGGGCCTGCTCCGGGCCAGCTCTCCACTGACTCAGCGCTCCTGAGGACTGATCTCGGCCTCCTCTGAGTTATTATAAAGTTATTAAAAACTAAAATCATTGATGGCCCGGAACTGACTCTGCCTCTTCTTAATAGGCTCACTAGCAAATTACAATAAAAATAACCTGGGGCTTATGAAGCTATTAGTAAAATGGGCCGTTTACTGTCACCTGGGGACATGTTACTGTACCGTTTCAGCATCAATATCTGAGATGAGGTCCATGGGAAAAGGTGACCAGAGCTGCCACTGAGACAGTTAATCGGCTAAGATGTGTCACTCACCGAGCTGAAACCAAAGCCACAGCTACGGGTCTAGCGCTGACCTAGGAATTCATTGCAAAAGAGGCAGGAGTGGTTTACTGCAGTGCTGACTGTCCCCTGGGTTCAGAGCAGGCCTGTCCCCGCCCAACAGGCTGAGGCGCGGGGAGAGTGGCCGGTCTCTCACCAAGACAGTGCTGCCGAGTCTGAGTCCGGAACACCAGCGGAGGGACCAAGTCACTCACTCTAATGACTGGAATTTCACCACCATAAACCAGCAGGAGGGCTGATCCGGTGCAGATCAGCGAAAGTGGCATAAAAACGTCGGGCAGCTGGTTAGCAGGGATGCACAGATGTTTGTTTCCTCCTCCCGAGAACTGCCTCTCAGCCTCCTCAAAACAGTATTCCTGCATTTCCTTTGTCAGCCCCGGGGGTGGGTCCCTGGGCTGGAGGCCAGCTTTGGGCCCCTCCACGTGTCACAGTCCCGCTGCCCCTGCTCGGTAATCCCGGGTAAATCCCGAGCCTTCCCCCGGTCAGGAAACACACCCGAGACCTGATTACACAAGATGCAGGAGGAGCTCTGAGCAGAGATGAAATGTGGGGATCGGCCACGTCGTCATTCGTCATCCTGTCTCAGCAAGTTCGTTTGCAGAGAGTAACTTGACAGTCCTTTCAGAATTTGGAACAGCCGCACATCATGTGCCCTAGAGGGAGGTATTAATGGATGAGGCGGCAGCCCTGTGGTTCACTTAATTAAAATCACTTGTTCCTGCAATACTTACGGGTTAAGCACTCATCCTGCAATTCCTGCGCCCAGGGCAGGGCTGGAGGGGGTCCTGGGCTCTCTCTGCAGGAGCTGTTTCACACTTGGGCTCCCCACATGCTCGGAACACGTGGTGCTTCAAGTCTCCGTGTTCACGCCTGCACGTGAGTGCGTTGTGCGCCGGGAGAGGCTTCACAGGTACGTGCTGGACGGGGGTGCTGGCAGGGGGCTGGGCGGCGGGCGGGCTGAGTTCACGTGGTTCTCAACTCTTAAGCCCTGAGGCTGGGAGATGATAATGTTCCTTCTCTGCCATCGAGCAGAGCTCAAAGCCAGGCCCACGGACCTGCTCATTCAGCTCTCCAGTCCTTCCCTGTCCGGATTGGCAGAGAGAATTCCGTTCATGGAGGCCGCACGAGGAAGTCCGTTTGTGGCCCCAGGTCAAGCTGCCTTGTCCAAAGCAGCCTCGGGAGAGACACCGTGTCCTCGGCCCCCATGCGATCCCCGCATCTCTCCTTCTGGCTTCTGGACCAGGAGCGGGGAGGCACGGGATTCATTAGCGTCCACAGATCCCAACACACATTTTAAAAGTTAAACGCGACTCCCAGGTTCTTCTTAGAAGAGTTATTTATGTGATCAGTCCGAGTGCAGTCTAGTGAGTGTCCATGGTTTTCACAGTGTGGGTGGTGGGGTCTGGGAGGAGAGGTGTCTTATAGAGACGGTCCTCGCTGGGGAGGAGGAGCCCCGGGGCGGCGGAGCCCAGCTCTGGGGAAGGAGGGCCTTTCTGGCGGGGCTGGGAGGAGCCACCGCTGCTGGCCGGCTCCGCTGCCTGTCCCGGGTGGGATGTGGGGTCCTTGGGGACGTCACTCAGGGGAGGGCAGCCCCCGAGCGAAAGGACAGAGGAACAGAGGCTGCACCACAGCTGAGCTTGACCCTCCCGTTTGTTCTCCGAGAGGCCCTTGCAGGCAGAGGTCTAAACACCCGCCTGCAGGCGAAGAGAGGGAGGCGCTCAGTGAAGAAAGAAACCCCTTGGAAATGTTGCCTGTGAAACTCAGCCTTTGTTGCAGAAATGCGTCCAGGCCTGAGCTAAACGTGGCCGCCCCTGGCCCCTGGGGGAGCCTGGCCCCGGCCCAGCGTCTGTCCTTCACTGAACACAGTGGGCCGTGCCCAGATCGCAGAATAAGAGGCCACAGGAGAGATGCAGGGCATCCGACTGGTCCAGCCACCTCCTTGCATGTGGGGCAGGTGAGGCTCAGGGGGCAGAGGGACCTCTCCAGGCCTGCGGGTGACGGGTACAGAGCCGAGGCCCGAGGTCCCAGCCCCAACTCCTCCCTCAGCGCTCTCTCTGCCGCCGGCATCACTCATCGCAGGCCAGGCCTGCGCTGAGCACTTTCTACCTCAGTGAGTTTCATCCTGACACAGGAGCCCGAGATGATCCCCATTCTACAGACGAGGAAGCCAGGCTCTGAGCGGGCCCGTGACTTGCTGAGATCCACAGCTGCTCGTGGCAGGGGTGGGACTGCGACCCAGGACTGTGTGACTCCACAGGGCCCCGCCTTCTTCTGCACCCTCCTCAGAGGGAGTATTCCACCCCGTGACAATCAGGTTTTCCTCACATTAAAGAAAGGAAAATGTAAATTGTCAGGAGAGTGATTCTCTAATGAGATGCTCAAGGGAATTTCTACAACTTTGAGCATTAACAGAAATGCTAATAGCTAATGTTAATAGCTAATATTAATAGCTAATGTTAACATCTGCAAAGTGTAAGCACTTTGCTGGGATTCACTGTTTAAACTTTAAACAAACTTATGTGAGATGATTTTATGTGACATCATTACCCCTGTTTTACAGATGTGGAAATTTCATCAGGGAGAAAAGAAATCACTTGCTCCAAAACCGCGCGTCCAGAATTCTGTTTCCCTGGAAATACGCCCAGGATGGGGATTTTCATGCCTATGGGAAGTTGCATTGTTGGGCCTCATTGTCCTAATTCTTCACCCTCCCTTCCCTGGATCCTTGCCCTTTGTCACGTGACTTTGTAGGTTTCCCGTCTAGATGTGGAGTCTCTTGTCTCGTTGAGGTTGGATTTGGTTATGTGATTTGCTCTGCCTGATGGCATGTGGGCAGAGGGTTGAATGTGCTTGCCCAGCTGGTCCTGACCTCCTGTGCTCCGCCTTCTCTATGAGAAGAATATGCCTCTGGTGTCACTGGTCCTGGGAAGATGAGAGACTCGTGGACAGACCCGGACTCAACCCTTAGCTTGAAGCCAAGTAAAGCCAGGCCCGGCCTGGATGTGATGAACCCCAGCAGACGTGTAGACGTGAGAATGAGAAATAAATGCTTATTGTTGTTTGCAACTGAGTTTGGGGGCGTTTTGTTATGCAGCTTAATTGGGACGATAGCTAACGGATACAAACCCCTGTGAGTGGACACACTGCAGCCCTCGGAGCATCCACACCACTTGCCCTCAGCACCAGGGAAGGAGCCCATCTTCTCCCCCCCACGCCACATGTCCCACTGCCCCCGAGCATCTTCACATTAGACGGCATGTCCCTGACTGCTGTCTTGTGTTGGCACGCATTCCAGGGGATAGGCACTGGCACCTTCTTGTCTGTGTTCATGAAGCTTTACCATCATGTGCCCCGTTTGTTTGTTTCATTTTTCTCTGATCAGATATTCAAGGGCTCATCAAATCCCACTAATGCTGAGAAAGCCTTTCAGACATCACGATGTCCGTTCGTTTTCTACTTTACCAACCATTTTCCACTAAGCCTTTGTCAGTCCTAGAGGCAGCCAGCGACCAGCCAACAGCAGGGGTGGTCCGCCCCTCCGCTCATACATCGCTCTCTTTTCTCATTCACCCTGAGGTCTTTGCTGGAGGGAATCCAGCTGTGACCCCTCCTGATGACTCTACTCGCCGTGGAGTTTATTATTAAGGAATCAGCAGCAGCAGCATCACTGCTCATCTTTGGGGGCAGAAGGCGGGGGGCAAAGCTCCTGCCTGTTAGGATCAGGAAAGACATGGCAGAAATTGCCCACGACCAAGTGCTTCCCCCAGTGGTGCTACGGGGTTGGCTTCTCAGTGTCATGAAACCAATGCATTTCTTAAAAACTTTTTTCCTTAAAGCTAAGCTGAGTTGTATTTCTACTGTTTGCAAAGATTCCTGACTCATACTCACCTGAACTTTCAGGAGTCATGGATTAAAGAAAATGGTGTCACGTCCAGTCAAAATGGCTCCTCCACCCAGGATCCACGACAAGGGGCCTAAGGACTATAAAGCCATGGGGAAACTTATTTTTTTTTTCCCAGAAGTAGAAATTGTGGCAAAGATGGTGCATTTTTCTCCTTAGATGCAGAGCCAGGGCCAGAGCAGCTTAGGAAAGAGGAAAAGACAACTTGTGAAAAGTCATTCACGGACAATTCCATAAAAGGGCCAATTCAGTATTAAGCTCTCAGGCTGAAAGTTCATGCTTTCATATTAAATCAAAATGAGCTTCAAAATATATATGAGCTGGTTGCATAGAACAAAGAGCCTTGCTGACATGTCAGTTTTAAACATTCTTCTGTCTGCTGCGCGTAAGTGGGAGAGAGAAGTGTCCCCGGTGAGGCCGACTCCCCACTAGCGGCTCTGAGGAGGCCCCTGTCCCCTCCATCCTCTCTCAGTGAGACACAAGAGCCAGAGGCTTGTTTCTGCCTCAGTGGAGCTTCTGTTCTTGGGTGGAGCTCAGAGCCCCGTTGGTCTGCCCCCGAACAGACACTCTCTTATACTGAACTAGAAAATAAGAAGAACACCCCGAGATGCTCCATTTTAAAATTATTTAGAGTTTCCCATGGCCCAGTGATTTGTGGACTGAAAGGTCAGGTCCAGCAGGCACCTGCCCCCTGTGCTGGGCTTGCACCTGAGAAGCAGCCCCGGATGATGTCCTGGGGAAGAACCCGGTGCCCAGGTGTGGCTCCTGGGTGGCCACAAGCATTTTCACACCCACCTTCCCCTCTGCTAACAGAGCCCTGAGAGTACCTGGGATTTATGTCCAGTGTGGGCTTCGGTTTTTCTTCTTCCCCATTTGGAACTTAAATTATCTCAAGAATGACTCAAGATTCCTAACTAAGGATGTTCACGGCCATGTTAGTTATACTAACCCCAAACAAAAAAGATAATGGAAATGCAAAAACCAACCTTACAGTCCAGCAATAGAGGAATCATTGTATATCTATGTGATGGAATGTTTCATAGCTATTAACATTGATGTCTCTAAAGATGATTTTATGGTGCAGAGAAATGTGTACAATATACTGTGAGGTAAGTCAAGGGAGGATCTGAAGACTGCATATTCACACTAAATTCTAAATGTATAAACCGAGTAGACTGTATGTGCAGAAAATACTGGAGTTGCGTTTTATTTTTTCTCTACTTTATAGGAGTATTTTATAAACTTTCTATTACCTTTTATATCAGAAAATAAAAGGACATCATCAAAAATAAAGGGATAATAAAGGCATAGAGCAGGCTTGAGTCACATGTCACTGTCTTTTCAGCTGGAACATTTTGAAATCGTGCTGTGACGATTAGTCAAATCCATTTCACCTGCCTTCACTAATCCAGGTCATTTTAAGACTGACATGTCCTCCAAGCAGCATGTATCCTAAATAATAAGATGTTTGCTTGAGTTGTTTTCCAGGAACTTGGAGTCAGCTCTGCATATTTTAAGCTGAGCTTGTTAAGACTGGATAGGACCACTGATCCACCAACTGGGCATGCGCCAATGTCCGTGCTCCGTGACCATTTTTTTAAAAAATAAATTCATTAATTTATTTTTGGCTGTGTTGGGTCTTCGTTGCGGTGCATGTGCTTTTCTCTAGCTGTGGCGAACGAGGGCTACTCTTTGTTGCAGTGCGAGGGCTTCTCATTGCGGTGGCTTCTCTTGCTGCGGAGCACGGTCAGTAGTTGTGGCGCACGGGCTCAGTAGTTGTGGCGCACAGTCTTAGTTGCTCCGCGGCATGTGGGATCTTCCCAGACCAGGGCTCGAACTTGTGTCCCCTGCATTGGCGGGCAGATTCTTAACCACTGCGCACCCGGGAAGTCCCTCCATGAGCTTTTGATGTCAGAGGGCTGAAAACTCCACCCTCGGGTGGTGCAGAGGCCGGTAGCTTAGTTACACCTGCACAGAATGATAATTGCTGCACCTTTTTCCAGTCACCTTTCCCCACGCTCCCCATGCTCAGACCGCCCTCCTGCTTTATTCATTACCCCATACCCTAGCCTTTGGGGAGGCAGATCTGAGATTTGTTCTCCCGTCTCTGTGCTTGCCTGCCTTGTGACTGAACTCTCTTCGCTGCAGACCTCAGTGTCTTAGCATTTTGGCTTGCTGTGCATCGCACAAAACAAACCTGTTTCGATAATCATTTCTTTTAGCCCCACAAACTGTCCCTTCCCCCTGGCAAGCCCCCGGGGCAGGGACCTGTCTCCTTTATGTCTTGATGGCCGCTGGGAACATAATCAGGGCTCAGTAAATAACTGATAATCACAAAGACCCCAAAAGGAGCCCATTCTCTTCCCCTGGGTGGTCTGCTAACCTTTCAAGGCATTCTCTTAAGTGCATTTCATTTCTTTTTAATTTTTCTCCACTTAAGTGGATGGAAATGAAAGTCAGGAGAGAGCGGCTGGCTTGCTGAGAGCCAGAAAAGGGAAGAATAAATGAATGAGAGCAATCACTGCGGGGCCCTGCGTGGAGCCTGAACCCCAGGCAACTGCAGGGCTGAATGTCCCTTCTCAGGTGGGGGAGGGGCCTTTCATACCCTTCCCCACACAAGGGAAGCCACCATCTAATTTCCTTTTTGAAAACGAGAGTTTTTTGCCCAGCAGTTTTCCGAGGCTCTATGATCTAAGAATCAATAAAGAAGTGGGTGATGTAGGAAACACCATTCAAAATCAACAGGAGAAAGAGCGACCTATGAAATTAGAGAGCAGGGCTCTGCCCTGAGTCACTTACTAATAGGTATTTACTGAGCACCCGTCCCTGCTGGGCACTGCTCTGGGTGCCATGACAGGGCAGGGAACCAAACAAAGTCCCCACTCTCACGGAGGTCACTTTCTAGTCTGGAGGACAAGCAATAGCCATTGGACCAACCATTGTCTGACATGTAGGGAGGTGAGAGTTGCTAGACAGGAAATAGAACTGATGGACAAAGTCGCATAAGTGGGCAGGGATGCCCTCTCGGAGGAGGCGAGCAAGCCCTGGGAAGAGCTCCCCAAGCAGAGGGAACAGCAGGTGCAAAGGGCCTGAGGCAGGAGGGGGTCCTGAGTGAGGCAGAGAGGGACTCATGACCCTGTCTCAGGTGGACAGGCTTAGTGGAGAGCTGTGGTTCTCGGGGTGTCATTCCAAGGTTAGCAGCATCAGCCTCCCGGGACCCTGTTAGAATTGCCAATCCTCACGCGTCACCCCAGACCCACTGAATCAGAACCTCTGAGCTGGGACCGGCATCTGAGTTTTAACAAGCCCTCCAGGGGGTCCAGAGTCTCACTAGAGTTTGAGAAGCCCCAGTAGTGCTGGACCCCTGGCTCCAGTCTTCCCCCAGGAGACCGGGGGAGTTAGTGCTGAACCGCAGGAGGGGCGGGGGGTCACCCATGAGCAGGATGGAAAACGGTCCCAGGAAAACAGTCAGGTGGAGGCTGTGCATTTGTTTGTCCTGAAATCTCCTTTGGGGTTTCTCGGGTGGGAAGTGATGCTCTGGGTGAGGGGGTGGCCTGGTCCTCTAGGAGGCAGGAGAATGGACAGAGGGAAAGAGGGTAGAAGGGCTTGATTAGAGCTTCTTAGTGACAGAAACTTGGAAAATCAACACACAGAGACCCCCTGCCCAGGGCTGAGGGGCAGAACGAACGAGGGGTTGGAGCCCAGTCACGTCGTGCGGGGCCCCTGTCATCACTCCCCTGGCACCCCTCCATCCTCGGTCCCTCAGCTTGGACCCGCCCGAGCCCTGCCATGTACCGGGTGTGGGCAACGCAGTGGGGAAGGGGCCCTGTCCCCTGGGCTTGTCCACAATGGAGTATGACTCAGGGTGATGGTCCAGAGCCCCCAGGACAGTGTCCCCAACCCTGAGGAGCCCGAGAAGGAGTCTCTGAGGAGGTGACATCTGAGCTGAGACCTGCTGGATGAGTAGCGATGAGCTGGGGACTTCAGGGGCTCTGGGACAGGAAATAAAGACCCAATCAAAGGAGCCATTGTCCTGGGTCAGAAGTTCCAAGGCAGGAGGTGCCGGCTTGGGTTTCTGGGCAGCTTGGGGCCCAGGACCGACTTCCCAGCCTCGCCTTCAGTTTCCACCTCCTGGTCACAGACAAAGCCTTAGCCTCAGGCACTG